ATTTGTTGTCATAATGGAAGTTGAGTAGAGGTCACTTATTTCCTTGCCTTGAAAGGTTTTCATAATAGAAAATCAGGTCAAGATGAACCACTAGCCTTGGTTCAGTATTTGAAACATAAACCATTTAACTATCACTATTAGAAATAGTTAGATTTAATATAAAAAGAAATTAACTAAAAGGTACTGCAGAGTATTCCGCAGAGTAAGGGTGGTGATTTTCCTTCAAAAAAGGAAGGTATTTTTTTCTGACATATTTACAAATTTTATCTAATCCATTTAATGTATTAATGTGCATTAAAATTAGAAAGAAAAATGAAATAAAAGTGTTTTATATTTGAGGTTAGGAAACAAAAATGGGAGAGGAAAATAATTTTGAATATTAAAAAAGGAGACTGAAATTTAATGTTTCTAAAACTAAAATCACACAAAGAAACTAACTTGTTTTTGAGGAAAAATATATGCTTCTAGTATTATGACATTTTATTTGCAGAATGGACTGATTTATGATGCCAATTTATGAAACTGAATTCTTATTTTAATTGTAATGAATTATATGAATAAGTCCCACAGAACATGGTTACCCTATAAAGTTGTTTTTTTTTTTTTTGGACCAGAGATCGAACTCAGGCCCTTGCACTTGTTCAGCAGGTTACCCTATAAAGTTTTAAAAAGAAAAATGTAGATTGAACTTTCCACCTAATTACAATAATGCAATTTTACAGCTAAAGTTGCTTTTTTAATGAAGTAAAGACAGTTCATAAAGAATTGATCCTAAGCAATTAAATAAAACTGATCCACTTGCAAATTCTTATAGCCTTTTTCCTGAATAAATAACCAAAATAAAACCAATCATCTCTTTATTTATCAAGGGTTAAAAAACAGAAATAATAGGGTAAGAGAAATTTTAAATAACCTGGTTTATTTGACTATGTGAATGTTTGGGTGTATAGACAAATGTGCAAGCCTATTTATATTTTTAATCAAATGATATATATGAAATAAAGATGGCTAAATTAATTTTTCTTTAGATGGATCTGAATAAAAGAATGAGGAAGATGCTAGGAAATATCTTCCTTGTAATTTAACATATCCATCGAGTGTGAAAACCGTCCCTCTCCAACTCTTAACAAATCAATCTAATCCACTTAGCAGATCTGTCTCACACATGTAATGTACTGTATGGCTTTACTAATATTTGGAACAAGTTAATGTCCTTTGTATTTTCAATTGGAACAAAACTTTTAGTGGCAGCTTAATTGTGGACTATGAAACAGTACAGTTGACTGTTTTATCAATATAGAATCTGGGAGGCATTGTTTTCTAAGGTCAGGAGCAACAACAATAGTTCAAATATCTAAGAAAAAGCAAACACAATGAATAATATAAGTTGGTATGTTTATTTTCAAAAGGCACGAAGACTAAGAACATAGTAAAAATAGATCAAAATACTACATAAATATTTTCAAATAGAAAACAAAATT